TCCTTACTTTGTCACAAACAAAATCATCCATAACGACCTTAATGTTCCTTATGTTTCCGACTTGGCCCAATCCAGATACCTATCCTTCCATAACAAACTTCAGAACCATCCAAACCCTCTCGTTTCTAACCTTGCTTCCTCTTCGATCCCTGACAACCCTCAGAGGCGTCTGAAAAGAAGATGGCCTCGAGATCTCCTTTTGTAAATACATTTTTAGAGTGCTACCAATGGGTAGTTTCTCAACATGTGATTTCATGCTATTTTATTCCTTGTTCACATTTACTGAATGTATTTCTACTTGTAATACAGTTGTAAATATCACCAATAAAAAAAAAAAAAAAAAAAAAATATTTGTGTTTCCTATACTTTGTGAATTTTCTGAACACACTTTTATATTATCAACAACCACTTGAAATAATGAATGTACTACGAAATAATTTACGCCTTCAATTATTAAATACAATACCCCCATAACTGGTGAGAGAAGCGGAAATGTATCATGTCGTCAACGGCGAAACACGGCGCTGGCATTCAATAAAAACACATTATCAAGTAATTATTAAAAATAAAACAATACGGTTGTTTGATGAACTTCAATGCAGTTGCAACTATACCGAACAAAGATAATGAAATAAAAAAAACGAAAAGGGTCATAGAGAAATATCATGGTATCACAAATGGAATAAAATGAATATATATAATTTTCTCTCACTAAAATAATTTAACTGGAAATATCAGAAGTTTATAAAAAGTAAACGAATAAAGGGAGAAATCCTGATACATTAATAGAACAAACCTCTGTTTTATGTCTTGCCATAATCATATATATATAGGAATGAAAAGCGCCTTAACTTCATTCTGTAATAAATTCTGTAAATTCAAAATGTGAATACTATACTGGATGTCCCTTAAAGATCTAAAAATAATTAATTCTACTTTGTAAGACGGAAAGCCAAATAATTAATTTTTAAAATACATATAGACATATGAGATCCCTGCTCTCTAAACCGCGTCACTGGTACTTAAGCCAGTGGAGTTAACAATTAATTGTATGCATTAATTGTACCTTTCATATTAAAATACCTATATTTGTGACGATGAATGTCTGTATGTATTTACATACACATTCACAACCAAGGATTATAATATGTAATAAAAAAATAATCAATTAATTAATTTGAACTTATATATAATTTCTCAAAGGATTTTTTTTATAAAGTTCATCTCCTTCAAGTGAGAACAATAGTTACGTTCCACCTAAATTTCAGGTAAAAAAGGTCAAAGAAAAACAATTTTTCTACGATTCATGATTAATTACACCAGTGATTATTTGAAATATCATTACGGACCCCCAAAAAATACAAAAAAAAAATCAAAATCGGACCATTATTACCATTATAATCGATCGAGAAAAAGAACATTAATTCATATTTATCTTATTTGTATATTAATGTGTCATTCCTTCACTAAATAATTTAATATGCAAATTATTCTGACGTGTTAACTAGTTATTATTTATTAATATATAATATATCTTGGATTGAGGCTTAGTATTGATTCTTATAAAATCTTTTTCTCAAAGCTTTTATAAACAAGGAATTAATATATCCATGAAGAGGGATTTAGGCGTGATATCTGATAGCTGCTATTCTAGGAAAAGGGAGAGGTCTAATTCCCTACGGATTAAGGGATAGGGGTTAAAAGAGAGACTAATCAAGCTCTTCTCATCAGAATGGGAAGCCTTCAGGAAAAGTTTAATACTATTTATTTATAAGTTATCAATCATTACTGTTTAGTTTGACGTACAACAGTATGTAGCGTGAAGTTTTTAATTGGCGTAAATTTATGACTGTATGACTATAATTAATCAATACAATTTAAAACCTATCATAAAAATTAAGTTGACAATAAGTTTAAATATTAGGAACATTTTACTAATATATTAATTATCAGAGATTTCTTTACCTTATTTCAATCGATGGGTTGTTGCAAATCTATCAACCGAAACAAAACAAAGAAAAGCTGCAAATTATTTCACAATGGTTTATTATTTCCAAACAGTTATACATCTAAAGTAACATTACATTCCTAGTTACAAAGAAAAAGAAATAAAAGATGATTCCAATTATTGGACTAAACATTTTTTTTTAAATTATTTGTAATACCCTAAAAAATGAGTATTACTTCAGTAACACTTTCCAAAATCAAAAACCAAAACAAAAGATATAACCTTTGCAGTAGAACATGTAAAAAATATCTAAAGGCCGTATCATTGCTCCTAATTGTGCGATGTTAACGATTTTTTTCCTTAGGAAATTTCGTAAACTTATAAATAACTATATACAATATCGAAAAAAGTGTATACTTTTTAAGTTATTCGGAATACAATTTCACCGTCCGTCGTTACTTCTTTTACAGCTTCTTTTCGTTGAAGTATGTTATATAAATAAATTTAAAGGGCATCAAGAAGAAGACTTTAGCGAAGTTTCATTGAAATCGGTAAATTCGTTTAGGCGCTACAGTCTATAGTAACTCAGGTTTTTCGGTCGTCATCTTGAAAGGAAAAGGCGGATAGAAATGTCGATGAAGGTGGATCATTCTCGGGTGAGCTCTAATTTTAAATCCAAATTTGAAAAAAATCAGTTCAGTAGTTTCAGGAGAAAATGTGCGCATGGTGGACGCAGAAAAAAAATTGTATTCGTTTTTCTAATTATATCTATTCTGAAACGTGAAACTTTAAATTTTGAATTTTTTTTTCAATCACAATCACAATTAAATATATTTATTTCATAAAGCATATATTTCTTTTAAACTAGCTCAATTTTAAAATGTTTCACTTTTTGTGGAGCATTAAGAAGTTCTCTCTCTATCTTTCTAGACATATACTTTTTTTTTATTGAATTAGTAAAAGTTGATACGATAGATACTTCAAACAACTTTCCTTATTACTGACACATTTATGATATCTTTGCCTAATTATACAATATATATTTTTTGATTTTCTTGCATATTTTTGAGGAGAGACTTTTAATTAAGAAGATAATTACAAAAAATACTTTATTTTATTTATTTTTCCTACCCCCCAGGAATTTATAAGAAAATACTTTTTTTTTTTTTTCATATCCCCTTTCTACTTATTCTTGTCTTTGATCCTTGGATTGTCTTAATAATACTCGTTTTACTGCTTAAAAGAAAATTCTTTTTTTTTTCTTACCCTCCAAAATGTTTATTGAAACAATTTACATATATAGTATACATAATAATACAATATATACATGTAACAAATTCCTTCCACTGTCCGAGGGCATAAAAGAAAAAACTTTAAATAATAAACTGGTTCGTGTTAGTTCAATGAGATCAGACAGAATTAAGAACCTTTTAATTTGGTATTGTATCTCGTGGCCATAATTTTACATCTATCGGTTTTTAACGCCGTTTTTCTGTGGAAGTTTATTTTCGGTTTTAAATGGTGCCCATTACCGTTTGAATGTTATCAGTTTTTGTTGTTAGACTTTATTGGTTTGAAATTATGATTCCCTTGCATTGTTATGTATTTATTGTTTAAGGAAAAATCGCATAGATTCGCTTGATGTTCGCCTTTAAAATTGCATTTTATCGTCTGTATTCAATAGGATAAATTGACGGTTCGGCTGAGGCTATGAGCGTTTTTTAAAAATGTATAGACGTTACAATAACTTTTATTAAAACAGTAAACTTATGAAAATGTATTTAATAAAAAAAAAATTGTTTTTTAAACATTGAGAATAAACTACATTACATACACTTCTAATAAAAATAAACAATATTGAACAACGTTCTTACAAATATAAACTAAAACAAAACTGTCTAAAAATTTTATTTTGTCCCCAAAAATACGATACAAAAAATGTAACATTTTTTTGTAATGTTTCAAATGTTGTCCAACTGTTTATAAAAGTAAATAGTTAATAAGTCGACGTTAAACAAATTCTTAACTATAGAGTTAAACTGTTTCAGAGTAAAAGAATTTGGTATCGTCTGGTTATCGAAAACCTATGTACTGGACCTAAGGACAAGAACTGTGGGAGATAGCATAATTTTCTAAAATCAAACGAATCCAATTCTTTCAAAACAAAGTTCTTCGAACAATAGTTGTGCTCCGTTCAATATAATCAACAAAACCTTATACCACGATCTTTTATCCCATTAGTCTTAGACCTTATCCCTGACATTTTTTTCGAGTTCATAAGTATCTTACAGTAATAGCAGGACGGCCCAGAGTTTTGTAAATAAGCATACATCGGATTTCTGGTAATGGAAAAATTCTTCACTCAAGTCATGTACGACTGTAGTTATAACGCTTCTGCTCAGCCTCCAGTGATCCTTAATGTCAGTAATGCGGCCGAAGCTTGGTTCGGAGTTCTCCTGAGTGAACGAATTTTGTAAATGTTCTATAAAAGTATGCTTGTACTTAATTTTTTATTTTGATTGGTTTATTTTTTTTAAATGTTTTATATAAATTTAATTTTAGTATTATTATGTTAATGTTTAACTTATTGTACATACAAAACAGTCTGGAAAACTAGACAGATAAACCTCTTGTCCAACAACAACTAACCTCTTGTCACAGAAAATTAATTTTAGGTTATAATTTGAAAATTTTTCCACAACACTACCTTGTTTGTTTAAAAGCAGTTGCAAAAACCCGTCAACGTTTCGCCAATTCAGGCATCGTCGGTAGAAAAAACAAAACAAATCCATATCATACCACTCCATGATATCTACCTTTCTTTCATTATGCGAATTGGATGTTATGAAGAGATCCAATCTTGAGTTTGTTTAGTTTTTCTACCCGATGATGTCTGAATTACCGAAACGTTAGTGTTTTTTTATTATTTTGCACCTGCTTTAGAAACACAAGGTTTGTTGTTTACAGTTTTCCAATTATAACCTACAATACTAATATTAGTGTTTTTTTTTCTTTTACCAGTTGATTACATATTGTGCTATGATCCTTACAGAGCGTACTCCTGGTCGCTGAGCAGGATTTCCCAACCCCGATGCTGACGATTGTTAACGCCGCCGTTCCTTATATTTATGGCAAACTTGGATCAGTCTTCATGACAGCGAAGGTGAAAGAACTCCTCTTCGACGGAGTCCTCATAGACTGTACTGCGAAGAACATAGTACCGAAAGCGATATGCATAGCGATCAAACAGAACAGCAAGGCCTTGGTAAAGCTGGGTAACAACAAATATCTTTTCTCCTTCTTCGGAATCGTAAGTATACAATGAAATTATTTAGTTGTGATTATATATTTACATAAATGAATTAGACGTAGTTATGCAAGATTCAATTTTTGTTATGTTTATATTTCGCTAATGTGATATCTAGTTGATAAATTGCAAAACTTCTTGGAGCCATAATATAGTTAGGATAGACTTTTTGAAAAAAAATATCTCATTTAAAGCACGGTTAATGAATAAGCCAATGTAATAAATAAGCTACATGAAAGAATAAAATAAAATATAAACTGAAATCGATTATGAAAATAATAAAAGTCTACTAGTTGGCTAACCTAAGGCCTATGATTAGGAACATAACTATTTTATCACCACCTAATTCTTCCTATTATTTAAATTTTCATTAAAATTGAGGAATAATAATTTACAAACAAGTCTTTGGATTTTATGATTCATTCAATTTTCATGTTGGCACCTATAATTTCACATGATTTTCTTATGAATTTTCTACGATAAAGTTGGCAAGGATTTTTGCAGAGAGCAGAATATCTCTTAATGGTTGCCTTACGGACACTAGCGAATCCATGGTTTAGTTTTCGGAGGGGAGGGCTTCAGCCAGAAAGATTTTTTTTTAAATATACAGGATGTTTCGTAATTTAACGGCTGTATTTTAAGTATGTGTTCACTAACACAAAATAAAAAAAAGAAGTTCATATTAACATATATCTCAAACTCATTTATTAATTTATTAAAGTAAATATACCAGACTTTTTGTTTTGTAAGTGTCACTTTTCCAGCTCTGGTTTCTTAAACTGCAAGATTTCATTTGTGATAATCTCTGGCAAAAAGATTAAACCTTGATTTTCACCAAAATTATTGTAGGCACTGTGTTAGTGGAAAGAAATCTGCTAAATTTTCTGACCGATTTTAATAATAATTTTTTCTCTGCCATCTGTAAAAAGAATATGCATTTGTATTTATTCTCTTAACTTATATAATAAAGCTTAACTTTAATAACTTATAATAAGGCTTAACTATATTAGGGCTTAACTTTAACTTTAACTCTGTTTATGATGCAGAGTGAACGAAAGCTCACCGAGACTTAAAAACTCATTTTATTTATTAATTTATTTTATTGAAAAATGTTTTTCATATAACTATATACATGTATGAATATATACTTTTCACCAGTTTGTTTCTGCAGGAGGTGTCAGACAGGATGATGTGTTTACCTTCCTGCTATTTAATTTATCTTTAGAAAAGGCAATACGTGACTCTGGAATATAGACAGCAGGCACTATATTTAATAAGTATGTTGAAGTACGTGGGTTTGCAGATGATCTTACTTTCATTACAAGATCGCTCCAGTCACTTATATGTTAGCTGAGGTAGGAAAAAAGATGGGAATGATTGTTAATGAAGAAAACATCAAATATTTGCGAGCAGGACCTGTAGCAGATGAAGCTGGACAAGAACCAATAGAGATGGGTCCTTCCATCTTCTGGAGGATTTTAAGTTTGTTGGATCAATGGTTACATCCGGAAACAGAATAACTACTTTACAAGCATACTTTAGCACATCAAATTCAAACACTGCGGATAATTCATTTATTATCTGAGCTACCGATCTTTGCGATAATAAATGTTTGTTTTAAGTCAATCATCCTATTTGAACAGTTTTAACTGAATTGAGGAAAACCGCTCACTATAAAACGTACTTTAACAGACCGTCGAGCAAACAATCCTCAGTGCATTTTATGACTTACCAGACCATCTCCCGGAAGTAAACATACAGTTGACAATCTTTTTAAGTTCCAATTGCTACAATAAAATTTAACCAGTTATAAAATTAGCGCGATTATGACCATTTGGTCGACATCTCTATAATAATAATAATAATAATAATAATAATAGAGATGGGTCCTTCCGTCATGTGGAGGAGTTTAAGTTTGTTGGATCAATAATAGCATCCGGAAACAGAATTTCTATGGAACCCATAACCCATGACGATTATTTCAAGCTTAACAGAAGAGAACAGGTCGTCATTTTTCGCCTCAGAACTGGACATAAGCTTTTGAAACACACCTTTTCAGGAAGTTCAAGATAGGACCCAGTCCCCTGTGTGAATGTGGCCAAAATGAACAAACCACAAAGCACTTTCTGCATAGCTGCCAGCTGGTTGAGGACATGTTGAGACATATGGGCCCAACGCTCTAGAGGACCTAAGAAGGACCACTAATTTTATATTTTTACTTCCCGACATAGCCATCTTGAGAGAAGAACAAAGAAGAAGAAGATTAATATATGTTTACATATTTGCATTGGAAAACAATACAAATAATAACGGTGAAATAACAGTAAAATAATTCTGGAAATATAAAAATACATATTATCTAAAAAAACATATTATTAGGTTACTATTGGAAAAATTCCAAACCACAAAGCCTTATGACTCCAAAATGGAGCCAAGGAACCCGTTAATGTTTCGCAAATTTAGGCATCATCAGGACAGAAAACAGCTAATAGAACACCACTCCATGAAATCTAAATGCATACTTATTGTTCAGATAGAGTAAAATCGGGACAAGAAGTTCTGAAAAAATAGCATTAACAATATTACTACATTATTAGGGAAAGTGAAAGCCATTTTTTTAGAGATTGGTTGAATGAAAAGACAAGAAAGTTGCTTTCTTTGGTGACTCACAGGCAGCCAGTTTGTCTCTCCGAAATGGATATAATATGAATCCAAATGTCCTTAAATGCCATCTGAATTTGGACCGATTGAACGAAAATCGGAAAGAAATTGCTTTCCAGTGGATACAAGGCCATTGCGGGCTCCTCGGAAATGATGAAGCTGACAAACTGACCCTGATTAGGTTCTAGAATGATCCAACCAGATATTCCTCTGGACATGGATTAAAATAAAAGAATAATAAAAAGGACCCTCGAAAGTTCACTGAAAGAGAAATATGCACGAAAAATTGAAGGGAAGCGATGGAGTGGATTGCTGGAAGAAAGTAGTAGGATCCCGAGAGACCTCCCTAGAGGACAAGCCGTGGTGTATGCTTTAGAATGCTCGCAGGACATGTTTTGATGCAGAAGCACTTCCACCTCATCGGTATAAAAGATAGCTCAACATGTCTTCTGTGATCCTTGGATATTATGACAGAGAACATCTTGATACAAGTCCTGCATTACATGACATAAGACGTTCGTTTAGTGAAATGGACAGCCCTTATGCTGGGAGAGCGAAATTATATTGGACTGCAAGAGTATGCATGGCTGATCGAGCAGACGTTACTTAGGCACAGGAAAAAATAAATATTAGAAATCTCTGAGCCTAGTTGGTGTGTTAGGTATGTGTAGTGAATAAGAAAAAAAATATTAGTAAAAATCTACAAAGTTAGCAGAAGAAAAACATGTAAAAAATGTTTCATTATTATAAAAACAACAACCATTAAATTAAAGAAGTGTCTTATGAGAAATACTGCATTTACCAATACCACTGTAATATCGAATTAAATACTATAATAAATTTTATAGTAAAACTTTGTTATTACTATAACATAGATATTCAAACTTTTAATTTGACTCAATTAACTTTCACTTCCCTGAAATAAAAGATGTCAATGAATATGACCATGACGTCCTCTAGTGATTCCTACAATAATAGACAGGTTGGGGACAGATAATTACATAGAATCAACCAAACCGCATTTCCCACGGTGGTTTATATAACACTAGGAAATAATGGTTTCCGTTTCACAACCCAATTGTTTTAAAAATATACCTCTGTCAAAGACATCCAATCGTAAAATGGTGGAGTTTGATATCACTATATCTACACAAGTAAAATCTTAGTTGGAAATTTTTTTAATATCAACGAGGAACGTTACGATATCAGCAATAACGTCTCTAAAAATAATTTTAAAAATAAGGGATGGTAAGGTAGTTTTTATAAATGGATAAATGGATTGTTATATTATTCTTCGTCATGACTATCATGCCATTTTCTACCTAACAACAAATCTGCTAATTGTCATTACCATGACAGGTGCGGATGAAGAATTGAAAACCAAAAATTTATGTAATGAAAATTTGAAAATGAATAGAATTAAGTCGAATATATATATATATAAGTGTGTGTTTTTAGTGACAAATAATAACAACAAAATATAAACAATTGTTGCGGCCTCTAATAATAAAATGGTTCCCCACCTACGATACATATGGTTATGTAAGATTATTTATTAAAAATGTAACGTATATAGGATATAACATATACGTTATATAAAAATATATATAAATATATATATATATATATATATAAAAATATAGGATGTAAATATAATTACTTTTGGGTTTAGTATTTGTACTATTGTTCACACTCTTTGTAGCTTCAATGGTGCCATCCCTCTGTCAGAGTTCAATACCTTGGGGCTGTTTGTATTGAGACGGTGGTCTCACACTTCCTTCATAAGATAGAATTGGACAGTCCAGAAGCTAAGCTTAGATTTATATATGTTTGAGTGAATGAACAACTGTAATAGGTAACGCAATGGTTTGAATTTTACATTTATATCGTATTTGTTTGCCATAGTAAAAACAATAATATAAACTAAATAATTCATGGGTTATTTTGGCTGACTAGTTGTATACTCATGATTTTTACTTTTATATTTTTTGTTTCGGGGGAGGGGAAGGAAAGAGGAAATAAAAATGCTTCAATCATAAAATATTCGTTAAATCCTTAAATATCCTTTAATCATTAAATGTTAGTGCAACTTCTTTTAAGTAAGCATGCAGTCCCCCCTACATAAAATTATTACATTCATTATTAATTCTAGAACCTATAGAGAATTTCGTTTAAAATTACAATTTAATATTGATTCTCACTGACGTTACAACATTTAGATCAATTACGAGACTGGTACAAATTATGGAACATTCGATTAAACGACAATAAATCGAAACACATTACATTTACATTTCGAAGAAATACTTGTCCTCCAATTTATATCGAAAAAAACCAAATTC